GCTTTGTAGTTGTCTTTTTCTTTTTTTCTAGCGCTCCCTCGTTGGTGGAAAATTCTTTCTTTTCCTTGTCCGTAGCCACATGCTGGATATTTTATTTTCTCGAAACTTCTTACTGTGAAAGGCCAACGAACTTCAAAAAGGCTCTTTTGTTTTTTTAATTCTCTACAATGTCATCCTCCTCATTCCTAGAGAGGCGTCTGGCATCTTTGAGAGCGTTGCCTGACGCGCGAGGCCCAGCTCCACTTTTCGCCCCGCGTCTCCTCCTGCCGATCTCCTCCTCCCCCAACTTCTCCAACTCCCTCGCTCCACTCACGAGCCCCCGACTCCGCTCCTCACGGCCCGCGCCCGCCACTTTCCGTCCTGTCCCGAAGGTGGGAGCGCGTCCGCCCTGTCCGCACCATGGCACGGTTCGGCTTGCCCGCCCTTCTCTGCACCCTGGCCGTGCTCAGCGCCGCGCTCCTGGCTGCCGAGCTCAAGTCGAAAAGTTGCTCGGAAGTGCGGCGTCTCTACGTGTCAAAAGGCTTCAACAAGAACGATGCCCCTATGCATGAGATCAACGGTAGGTGGGAACCCTGGGGGGCGAGCGCAGAGACGGGCGCCCGAGAGAAGGGGCCACAGAAGTCCCTTCGCCCCGCCGCCCCCAGCGCCGGGCGCAGGTAGCCCACAGGGAGAACTCGAGAGCGAGCCCCTGCGGCGTAGAAGGTCCCCGGGGCGCTGCGAGTGGCGGGGCGCCGCCGAATTGCCCGTTGCTACTCCGGCACTCTGACCCTTCGGCCCCAGTCCCGGGAAGCCCCAGAGGACTCTGGTCCGCAGAGTGCGCGTCACCCGCTCCTTGGCCTTTTCCGGGTTGAACTTCTTACGGGGCTCCCCGCTTTGTTGTGTGGGTGACAAGAGGCCGGGTCGGGGTGGACGTAGCCTGTGGGGTGGTGGTGGGGAACCTTCTTGCCAGAGTACGGGGAGCGCAAAACGCGGGACTTGAATTGATGTTTCATTGATGTTATTTAAAAACCCTTTGCCCACCTCTTTCCCACTGCTGAGACGGATTAGTTTTAGTAGCTACAGCGGCTTTAGTCGCCTTTAAAAAGCGAAAGACTCTCCATCCCTCTAAATCTGACTTTTGGGAACTCTTCTGAAGGTGTTGGGCGAGAAGGGTATTTCCCCCCCTTTTTTTTCTCACCTCATTTTAAGGGTTAATTGCACGTTGAATTACAAACCTTTGAAAGGACTGATTACAGGAAACCTGAATCTCGGCTAGGAGATGGTTATGCAAATGGAGACTGTTTAGCCTGTGAAAAAGTTCCCCGGATTTTGGCGCTTGGGGGTACTTGGAGGTATTTGTGAAAGTCCTTCTTGGAGCGCCTGGGAGGCAGCTTTCAGGCCGGCGCCCTTCACCCCTCCCAAGGCCGGCAATGGCCGGGCGGGTCCCCCCTGGGTCGCTCTCTCATTCTGAGAGGCCAACTGTTGCGTGCAGCCCCGCGCTGGGCCCAGAGGCTGCGCAGGTAGCCCGTTTGCCCGGAGGGTTCAGAAAGAAATACGAATCTCGCTGGCTGGTGGCCAGAATAACCTAACGGAGAAGTGAGCGATTCGAGCTCAGGGGCCAAGCCTCCATTCCGAACCTTTCATGGAAGTAAGCAGAGCGCGCCTTTGCCTCTAGGTTTTGGTCGCTCGGGTGGGGCGAGCAGGGGGCCGGCAGTTGGCAAAGGAAATACTGTAATATCAGCCAGGCACTCCCAAAGGCTTAGGAAGACTTGGGGGTTATTTTTTGGAAGGACTATTAATAACCTTGGAGATTAAGTGCAGTCATCAATTACATATAAATTACAAAGGTAATTGAGGGAAGTTTCTGGGCACTTTGCGAATGTAATCAGCAACTGTCTAGAAATAGAACCCAAGAAGTTGTTGAAGCAGCATAGAAGTCCACTGCACCTTGGCAGTTATCGAATAACTCCCACACTACTGATTGGAGACTGTTTGCCCTTGAGCTGCCTGTCTTTTGGGGAGCTCAAGTATGTCCTCACAGTGGCACGATTTTATTGGTGGTAGAGCTCTAAAAAGCCCTCTTTCTTTCCACTCTCCCTCCTTCCCAGGCAGAAAAAGTGAAGTGAACCAGCAGCCACTGAAGCTTGGGGGCTCTACAGGTCTGACCTGGGGTCTTTGTGCCCTGCATGGTTTGGGCCTGGGCCCAGCAGAGATGATTGGCGTGAAGGTTACAGTTGTCATTCCCACATTTTGAAGGGATAAATGCAGTGATGCACTTAATGGGAGTGTGACAAGTTTTCATCTTCTGATCATGCAAACAATATGTGCCTTTGAGATAGACTGAAGGTATTCAGGGAGTGGGTTGTGAAATGGCCCTCCCCACTTTCTCCAACTTTGCTCTGTGCAGTCTCAAAGCTGTAGGACATCTTCCCCAGGCAGCATCTCAGGAAAAAGGAAGTTTGATGAGTGCTCAGAGAGTGTACCAGGTGTTCCCTTTGATTGTCATGATCCCCAGAAAACACCTGAGGAATACTTTTGCGTGAATGTCTATCTGGACATTTTCCCTCCAAAGATAGGAGAGTTATTAGTGACCAGCAGCAGGAAATGGAAGCTAATGTGCTCACACCCAAAACATTTTATTCTTTTTGTCTTGTCCTTCATCTCCCTCCCAGGGCTGCTGCTTTTATTTCCCCTTTTGAATGACCTACTGGACTGCATTCTCCTAAGGAACAAAGGAAGTGCCTTTTTAGCTGGAATCCTTGGAAGACCACCAAGGATTTTAGCTCATGCAGTGCAATTTCGCACCACTTTCAACAATAACAAAAATGCATGACTGAATGGCTCAAAAATGTGGAGTGTTAGAGGCATTCATTTGAGTCTAGGACACTGTCACAACACAGACAGACCCAAGTAAATACCTTTAGACGGCTAGTATAGAAACAGGGTAATCTTTACCATCAGCCAGCCTGGCCTCTCCAGATGCATACATTAGCCTTGTCTTCCCTGGGCTACACTCAGATAATTTTGGTCATTTTGGGGAGTAAAGTTAGTATAATGACTTGCATTCAGCTTATGTTTGAATGAATGAATTGTTGGGCACTTTCCCTGGTGTGTGGGGGTATATATATCTGTATTTAAATACAAAAGTCCAGGGGCACAGTGTCTGGGTGTCTAGCCCAAGGTTAAGGTTTTGTTCCCAAGGGCCTTGCACTTGCCTTCTAGAGGTTTGAACAGGCTATAAGAATACTCCATGTTCTTAAGTACTCTCAGTCTTTTTAGATCATAATTAAGATCATTTGATATGTTCTCAAGGGTGTTAGGGAGTACATCATGCTGATAGGGCTTCCAACTGAAGTCCTGCATGTACCTTTATACTTACCAAGTAATGGGTAGCTAAGATGCCATGATCACAAGGTATCTTTAGCACAAAGGATATGTTTTTGGTTAGCTTTCAATAGGTATATCTTTTTGGAATGCGTACTATGTGCAATATTTTGTGCTTGGCATAGTGGAAGAAAGAAGGGCAGGAAAGCCTCTGCCACCAAAACCTTTCCTGATAGTAGAGATAAGCCATGCACACACATAGTTGGAATAAAACATAGTGTGTGATAAATACTATGTGAGTGGTACAGATGAGGAGAAAGGAGTGCCCAGGAAGTTCCAAGGGGGAAGGGATTAGGACGCAAGTGTTAGCTAGGTAATTCTAGTTCACTAATAAAAAATAATATTAAAAAGAAGTTTTAAAATCTAACCATTTTCAGTGTGCCTTCCTCCATAAAGATGGGATAAACGATATGCAACAATTGGCATTTTATTACTAATCTAATCTTTGTTGAAATTGTCTTTAGGGGTGAGACAGAAACATTCTTAAGTTTGCCAGAAGTCTCTTCCATAGTGACATTGAATGATATCAACAAGAACTTTGTGTCATAGTTGTGATTTTGGAATTTTTGTTTCCTGTTCCCATCTATGTTCATGAACAATACACCTGTGAGTATGCTGGTGGGAGCACACATACACAAATGTATGCCCTAAAGCAGGGGTGGGGAATATCCAGCCTGTGGGCAAAATCATTTGGTCTGGCCCTACCAAGGCATTAGGGGTGAGTTAATTAAATGTTTGACCAAATATAGCAGGTTAATTTTAAATTGATAATTCTCTATGGCCTGTGAATGTTGTTATAAATATCCAAATGATCCTTGGCAGAAAAAAGGTTCCCCACCCCTGCCCTAAAGGATTCTGGAACTATATAAGCTATGTGAGGATTACATGGAATAAAAGTGTGTGTGAAGGGAGAGGTAGGAATACTTTTTGCTACTGAGTTGATTATTATATGTAATACACAAAACATACGTCTTCAAGATTTGTATTCTCTCTTCTCCAATTTAAGTAGATGGATTAGACTTATAGAAAACTTGTGATCTTCTATTCTGTTGGAATCATCAGTTTGGCTCCCTGAATAAAACATGGTGTGTGTTAAGTACTCTGTGAGTGGTACAGATGGGAGAAAGTGCCCAGGAAGTTCCAAGGGAGAAGGGATTTGGGACTCAAGTGTTAGCTAGGTAATGCTAGTTCATTAATAAAAAATAACATTATTTTTTATTAATATTCACTTGAGAAGAGGGTCTAATTGAGCCACAGGGCCTGTCAGTATAGAAATTGTCCCAGGTATTTTAGGAACTACCTCCTAGACATGCTCATAAAAAACTTAGTAAAAATTCTGGATTATGCAGCTCTATCTCTCGTTAGAACATACAAATATAAAATGTTTTATTCAGCATAATTACTATTTTCCTTTTTTTTGGACTCACATTGGGTTGCATGCAATTTCAGGATTAGCTAGGACTGGACTAAAGAATGAAAAAGGGAATTTTTGTTTTTACAAGGGAAACAACATCAATGCTAATCTAATCAGTTGGAAGTGAGTCTCTGGCTCCCCAATAACAGTAACTTTTATCACTGATGTTGTTTACATATGTGTTCACAAAAAATGCATTTTGGCCTCATGAAAAGGGCTAGTAGCTATTGAGTGTTTTCTCTGGACCTGGTGTCCCTAAGGGCTTTACATCAGACCATTTAAAATCCACAGCAACCATATGAAGTCAGAATTATTACTTTCATCATCCCCATTTTACAGACAAGGAAACTGAGATCCAAAGGGACTTCTAAATATATTCAGTCTCACAGCTAGGGAATGGTGGGATTTGAATCTAGGTCTTATCTGACCCAGAGTATGGTCTGTGCTATGTTCTACAGATAGTAAGACAAGAGTGTACCTTTGCAACTCCCATGAGGGCTAGTTTTAGAAATATAAGCTGTGAGGGGATCATCAGTTAACTAGTAAAGGACCCATCATCATAGCACTATTGTGATGCTGTAGTAGAGAGGAACCAATCCTGTCCTTTGCAGGCCACTTCTTATACCCAGACATAGATAATCTATTGTTAATAGTAGAAGCAATATAAATTGTAATTCCTGGGCCATGTGGAACCAGTGCTGGTTTCTGAGAAGGTAAATGTCATTAGTCAAGATGTTTTAGGAAGATAGCTAGTGGCATAAAGGCAGGGAGAGCTGTTAGGG